AAAAAAAAAAAAAAAAAAAAAAAAAGCCCATTAGGCCATTTTTCAGCGCAGACTTTGGCATCAGAGCAACACCATAGAAGTTAATGGAGCGGTACCCTCTTACCCCTCCTTGCTCCACAGTTCTTCAGGAGCTTCCCAACCACCCTTCCCAACTGGCAGCATCCATCAACAGCTGGAAAGCCTAGCGGAGCAGCTTAGCTGCCGAGTAGCCGGCTAGATTTGGAAAATACTGTTTTGGATGACTTGATGTGTAGACACAAAAAATTCTAACAAAAGATGGAAGGGGTTCCTCGTATTGATACTGTTTCTTGTGATAGTCTTCCTAGAAGACTTGCCATAGTTTCTTCAGGCTGACCAGCAACTCTTCAAACTGAAACACGTTACCAATTCCCTTCCGTGTGCTGTAAAATACTCCATGTATTATGCGAGGTTTCATGCCTATCCTGAATTACTTCTAGGAGAGCGTAGTTAAGAGCCACGAATKCGAGCACAAACCCGCCGATCGTTCACAAAGAATGGAAACGTTCTGTTTTTTAAAAAAAAAAACAAAACAAACCCCATGAGGCAGGTCCCGTGCCTAGAGCATGCCTCTTCCACGAGGTGCCACTCGTGGGTCGGGATGGCGGGGATGGCCTCTGCTCTCCCTCGCCGCTCGGGGCGGCTCTCCGGGCACTCGGGGCTGAGGCGCTGCTCCTTCCCGCCCAAGATGGCGGCGGCCCCGCCCCGCCGGGCGGTGTCCCGGAGCCCGTCCCCCGGCGCGGGGTGTATGACCGCGGCCGTGCGGGGAGCGGGGCAGGCGGCGGCCGGAGCGGGGTGTACGGGTGAGCAGCGTGGTCCGGCCGCGTTCCGAGCGGCTGGGTGTCGGCCCGGATCGGGGCCGGTCGGCCGGGGAGCGAGAGGGAAACTTTCCTGGCGGAGCCCCCCTCCGCCGGCGCTCCGGCCGCTTTCCCGCGGCCATGTTGGGAGCSGGGGGCTGCCTGTGGCGGGGGGAAGGAGCTCCCCGGCGGGAGGCGGCGCTGGGCTCCACTGTCCCGCCGCGGGGCTGGGGCAGCGCCGCGTCCCGCCGGCAGGGAGGGAGGCGGCGGGGCGGGAAGGACCTGGGGAAGGAAGCGACGGAGGCGGGCGCTGGCTGGTCCCAGGGCAGTGAGGGAGTTGGGGGCCTCAGAAACGAGTTTATCTTCGAGAAAGGGGAGAGACCACGGCGGCGGCCCCGCGGCGTTACGTAAGTGCCCGAAACTCCTCTACTCGTGACTCCGCCGAGGCGCCGTGAGGCGACGGGACGGGCGGGCGGAGGGCGCTTCCTGCCCCGGCGSGCTGGCGGGGCCGCGCTGCCCCCGACCCTTCGCTCGCCCGGTGAAACTCCGTGTTCTCGGAGCGAGTCGCCTGAAAAGTGTTGACGCTGTGGTGAAAAGCCAGCGGAACCGCGAGTCGTGCGGCTGCGAGCATAAGGTGCTATTTTTTTTTTTCCCTGTGAAATTCGCCTATTTTGAGGAGAATGTGACTGGTCTGCCAGAGATACGTGTGGCTTATAAGCTGTTTTCTGAAAGTAGCTCGGGGAAAGACAGCTGCGTGTTTTTCCTCTCGCCTCATTCGAAGTACTTATGTTCGTAGGCACCGATAATTATAAATGGCAAAACTGCTCATCACGGCAAGAAAGCGATGGGTGAGTCTGCTGAGYAGCAAGTCCTGGTATCGGCTTTGTCCCTGCTAAGAGAAATGGCTCTAACTCGCGTTTTGACGTGAAGCATCAGTACAATGTTTGTAGATAACCAAAAGGACCTGTTATATCTTTAAGCAGACATTAGGGTTTGTCTTTTGGCTGAATTGATGCGAATACTTCCAGAAGCATCATTAAGTTCTAATTCAGGCTGTCCTCAGGCTGTGCAAAGAGTTATTGAAAGGGTTGATGCTTGTTTGGGAAACATCGTATCTGAAGCTTCGTTATGCCTAACAGTTTAAGGTCAGATGAGGTTAACACAATAGGCAAAGTAACTGTAAAACGAGAGCCACAACACAGGAATCTGTTTCAGAACTGAGACTGTAAATTCCTCTTTCTGTCCTGAAATAAGGAGAACTTAAATATTCAGATCTTAAGCTCTGATACTTGTAAATTGAATAATTTGAGAGATGCCTGTCTGAAAGAAGGGGAGTATTTAAAGACAGCAGTGTAATCGGTGCTGAGATTCTGCAGATTAAATGCATTGTGTGCAGTCATCAGCATGCAGAAGGGAATCGGTTCTTCAGCTCAGAAGGCAATGCTCTTGCTTTTAGCCTCTAATCTAAGTGCTATTGACTACTCCAGTGGGTAATAGGAATCCCCGMGTTTTTAAATGTCTATTATATCAGCTCAGTTTCTTAAATAGTACTTTCCCAAGAGTTTTAGTGCCACAAGTTTTGCTGAAAACAACATTGAAAGTGAAGTGTTGTGARTCTGAGTCCCAAATTCTTGCTTCTGAATGCAAATCGGCTGTGTGCCTTTTGGAGTGTCTTGAGTTTTGCTTTGCATGAAAGCCCACATAGAGGAAGTCCCTTAAATGCTAAATGATAATTCATGTGTAGAAAATTTTAGCTGGAGAGCTGGTTCAGTTTACTCTCTTGTATTCTGTAGAGAATGAGTAGCATCTTTTCACCTRGAAGCAAGTTTTCATTTGATGCAGWGATGAAATCATTCTTCAACTAGAGCTCTGTTCTTTCCCTTAAATCATGGGCTGAGCTTTAACTGTAGTAATTAGAGATGTCCCTGGAGTAACAGAAGGGTCTATCCATGAAGCACTTTAGTTTACAAAAATTATTAGCAAAATGTTTGCTGTATTCAAAAGGTATGGTGGCTTTTAAGGTTTCACTGTGGTGTGAATGGTTGGTGGATGCAGGATAGTTTCAGAACAGTAAAGAGATGAAATTGCCGTTTCAGGTGAGGCATGGCATGACAAAGCATTGCTAAAAGCCCCATGAGAGGGCTTTTACTATAATATTAATATAAAATTAATATAATAAAGGCAGAACACAAGCGCTGGTTTCATACACTTGCATCGTATTTATCATCAAAGTGGGCTAGAGGTGTTTAAGTGAAAGCTTAGGGTCAAGGCATGGCACATAGATGAGGTAGAGTTGAAGTTTTTAGTGCTTGCAGATCTGATTTTCTGAAAATGCTAGTTAGATAAAATGTTGAAGGTGGTGTCCAAGCAAAAAAGTAGCATTCCAGTTTTGATTTGTAAAGTACACACATAAATGGGTGATGTCAAATAAGGAAATCCCATTGTTAACGGATATGGTTCTTAGATAATGGTAGGTAAGGAATTTAAGTTTTTGATTTTCTATTAAGAAACAAAACCTTACTCTGTACACCCTCAAATTCTAAGGGTACATTTGTGACTTAATTCAAGCTCTGTTAATGTTCAAGCTTACTTTTCCGTTTAATTTTTGTATTTTTTTAAAGTTATAAATCATGCTTGTATATGTGTGTTTTACTACTTTCAAGAATTAATTCAGTAGTTGGATGGAGGTGTGATAGTGTGAAGATAGTTCCAAAAGAGAATACATATAGGTAAATACAGACTTCTGAAATAGAAACACATATTTAAAACTTTCTCCCTAATGCAGCAAGTGACAAGTTTGCTGTTGTAGGATAACTTTTGTCTTCATGACTCATCAGAGGACTTGTTTTTATGGTTGAGGGGGATGAAAAACTACTCTATAGATAGGTGTGGTGGTATATGTTTACTAAAGATTATTTTATTGTCATAAACTACAAGATATGATGAGGGTTATGTTAGCAAGTAGGGTCCTGCAAATTCAAGGCCATGTGAGTAGTGCTGTTGAAATAAATGAGTCTGTGCACATGAGAAGTGGCCTGATTGAGAGTTATAGGACAAAGATTCTCCTTTTATGACAATAAATATTATTGTGCAGAAGTGTTACCAAATAGAAGAGTACTTCATGTCTTTCAGCCTGCCACTCTAATGCTACACAGTCAGAAATGCACTCATGTTGACTTTAGTTGCCTAAATAGGTAAGAGTACTGCTTCTTTGCACATAATGATGTTTTGATTTTTTTTTTTGTTTGAGTTTTCTTTTTAGCCTATTAGTGATTGTAAATAATTTAAGGATTTTAAAAATTAAGTGGAAGGCAGTCACTTTCTATTTTTTTTCTCTTTGCATCATTATGTTTCACAGTAAAATGGAATTAAGGATATTGTGGATGTAATATAACAGGATTTTTGCATTTTGTCAGACGGTAAAAGAAGGAAAAAAAAAACCAGTTGAAAGTTAAGGATTTCGAATAGAGGAATGTTCTTGCTG